CGGCGCAAAAACGTCGAATTCGATTGCAGCGGGTAGACCGCAAGAAGCCGCGAAAGAAGAGAGGCGAGAAAACACAATGGCGACTCCTCTGCTACGAGGAGTACCGTAGCGAACGTGTACGATTGCGAGAGAAAGAGAGGGAGAAAGAGATGGAGGAGAAGGGTTGGAAACGCGGGGAGGAAGAGAAGAGAGGGTAACGTCCGTTGCAGAACAGTATCCCTGCCTTGTCCCTCTGAACCCTTCATCTGGCACCGGTGCAAAAGCATTGTGTCAGGACGTAACAACTCGCGATAGTACGACGCAGCCTCCCATGGGGCACCATTATCCTGATTTAGCGGCACACAGCGGCTACGACTCTATTTCCTACGCGTTTTCCCGGCTATACGCCCTCTCCTTTGTCCAGCTTAGCTTTATTTGCGCGGAAAAGGGAGAAAGAGCGTGGTCGGGCCAGCGAATTGACACGTTTGAGCGCGCCACCACCACGTCTCCTCTTTCTTTCCACGCGCCATTCTGCTCTCGATTCGTCTCTCTCTCTTAACAAGAATCCTCGATTCGAATCTGTTGGTAAGCGTTGCACTAAGGATCGATTCTAGGATCGATGTTGTCGATACGCGGCAATTTGAGGTTCATTTCATCGAGTTGCGAGCAGCAAATTCATTTTCCAGCAAATCTTGGATACTTGGGATTCGAATCTATCTATTATTTATTTCCCACCGGAAACGGATTAAACAAGTCTGCTTGCTCCTCGAACTGAATAAGAAATAAGAATCACGAGAATTTAAACATTTTTGCAATTTTTATCCGCGTTTATTATCCCTTCTTCAAGGATCATCTTTTCAATTTTTCGCTTCCCTTCCCGAGCGCCGTGCAAATTTGAGAACGAGGCAAAGTTACTGGGGCAGAGAGATATATAAACAAGGATGTTCCGTCGCGGTGCAATTAATGTAGCCGGTGGGTTGGCCGCGAAGAGGCGGCATACTCGTGGCGATGTTTAACTCGAGAGTGGTTCCAACAAGCTTCGTATATTTACCAATAACATCGAGCACAAGCGTTCCACGAGTCGAGTGTGTTTTGAATGGGCCGCATGCTTGATGACTGATTGTGTTTCTCAATGGTGGCTCCGTGGTGTGCCCGCGACCACCGTTGCACAATGCGTCGCCACGTCGCGTTCCCACTGTTGCCGTTTCAATGAGCTCTTGACGATAAATCTAATATTATCTTGGTTGGCGCTCGGAGAGCCAGAAGGTCTGGCAGGCTTACTTGAAAAGGCGCCTCGATATCATCTGTACTTGGCAACCGGGCGAGTTTCAATTTCTCTCCCGCTGGAAACAGTTTCGGGACTAATAATGAAGATCGACTAAAAGGCGAGTAAACGAACGAGAGAGAGAGAGAGAGAGATCAAGGGTCTCGCGATGGCGTCGCTCCAACAATCCTCCGTCCCGCGATCGACGACTCGGATTCGAGGTTCCCCTTCTCTCCAAAAAAAAAATTACGCGCAATCGATGGAATACGCGGAAAAGGGAGGGCGCCGCTTTTACACGGAAAATCATTCGCGCGGAAACCGAAACGAAAATACACGGAACCGGCCCGCGACGTTTATATTTGTCAAAGGATATAAAAGCTAAATATTAATCATCGGGGGAGGAGGGTGGAGAGGGCGTATAACTCCCTCCACCCGGCGTCGATAAATATCGCGACCACGGGAAATTAATACGCAGACGTAGAGTAGCACACTGTTCGAAACGAGTATTTACGGGGACGAGTGGCGTGGGGAGTTGCATTGGTTCGTACAGAGAGCAAGATAAAGAGAGAGAGAGAGAGATGTAGGTGGAGAGTATGCTCGTTGGATTACGGGGATGCTCGTTAAATAGGCTGAAACCGCGAATAAAGACGCGACATCGTCGTTCACCTCCTTATTATCCCCTATCTCGCCGCGTGTACACGTGGAATAGAAAGCTGGTGGTCCGGTCCATCGCACAGGAGGGGGGTTATTATTAGGGATTCGAGGTATTAAACGTACTTTGGGGGAGGGGTGGTCGATCGATCTTCTTATTCGGCTACCCTGCGCCCTACTTAAATACAATCTTTCGGCAACGCATCTACAATCCGTGTAATCCTCTTAGCGAAGTATTCCTACTCGTACGCCTGCTGCCGGATCCCTGATACCGTGTGCCATTGTTTCTTATCTCAACTGATTACGATGCTTGCGCATACGTACGTATGGTGCCGGGCCAGGGGGGGTAATGGGGCTCAGGGGGAGCAAGGGAAATGGAAAATGTGGGTACATACAACGTGCGTTATAACGAGATATTTCGGCCGTGGAGTAATCCTCTTAGCGAAATGTTCGCTATTAGCCACCGCATTGACTTTCCTCCTTCCGTTTTTCCCTTAATCATCGAGATTTAAAGAGGGCGTGACGTTAACATCGTTCAATTACGATTTATGGAAACAATAGGAAAATTAGATGGATGGATATGGACGAGGAAATTTTCCACGAAATAATCTTTCGTAGAAATAATCTTTGTACAGAGTGGAAAGTTTCGAAAGTTGGCGCCACGAGGGATCATAGGGCGGCTGCTTGCGGTTATAATCCGATCGCACCGATAGATCAATCCGTCTGGGGAGCGATGAAAGTTGGAAGTCGCGCCAAGTGTTGCGCATCGATTTCGAATATGCAAAGATCGACGCCGTATTATAAATTTCTCTTTCGTGAAGTATTTGACAATCGATAAAATTTGTACCTTTACAATTTTCTATACTCCGCGCTCCATTTCCTTCCAGTGATATTCTTTTTACTGAACAATCGATAAATTAAAAAACACTAGAATTATCGGTACGCGCTATTTACCGAGGCGATGTCATAAAAATAAGCAGATATGTAATTACGTGCACACGTGTTATCCGTATAACAAATTACGATATTAATTTCCACCGATCGAAAAAAAGAGCAGATTTCGGAGCGAACCGACTTTTTCACTGTGGGGCGCACACGACAGAGGAGCGAGGCCGCAAACGGGTGCTTGATTAGCAATTAATACGCGGCTAGCCGATCGATCCATCGATTAACGAAACCGATTTAATCAGCGCCCCGGAACACGACTGACCAGTCCTATTAATTAGCGGAATAATCGGATCACAGGGAATTACGTGTTAACCGTCCTCCTCCCGGCCTGTATTACTTTCGATAATAGGCTCCATTACCGTCTGTGCTACTGATCCGTTACTAATGTCAGCAAGTCCGCCTGTCGTTCGAGAACAACAGGACAGAACCGGAGAACGAGAGAGAGAGAGAGAGAAAGGTTGGGATCCACGAGGTTTCGCATTCATGCATCGACGGAAATTAATTCACTGATCAAGTCGTGTGTGACGCGATCGAATTAATTTGCGGCGTTCGTACAGAGCGGATTAATTATCATCACTGGAAGCATCGTCTCATTGGCGCCACCCTCCGGATATGCGCGATCCAGCTTCGTCTCGAAATTTTTCGAAATTCCTCTCATGTTCTTTTATTAAGTAATATCTGTTTCGCGAGGCGGTGTTTCATGTTATAAAATTGCAAAGAGAGTTTATACTCTTCGAACGTGCTAAATTTTTACTTTAATCCTGAAACTTACTTTAATCCCGCTTGAGCTCTGGTTAATCCTAGCTAACTTTAATCCTTTCCTGAGCTAAGACCGATGGTAATACGTTCGAAGGTGGTAGGTATCTTTTATAAAAATTGAACGACAGAATTGTAGATTTTACCTGTACAGGCGAAACAAATTTTCCTACTTCGATAATCCTTCGAAAGTTTCAACTGCGCGTAATTCTAAGAATCGAATATTACGAGCATCCACCTCATTCGAGATCGAAGAAAGAGGCAAGCTTACGCGAGACGTCCCCCACTTTTACTCAGAATTTTTGACACGACGCGATATCTGCAATGCGTCTTCGCCTCCTCGACGAGATGGTCGATCCTCTGTCTCTGTTCCCTGCCAGTTAATCTTTTCTTAGATTTCTCGGTTTATAAAATATCGAAAACTTTGTTTGTTTGATCTACCGCGAGCAGACGTTACTTTGAAAAATCACTGCGTTGATTTTCCTCGAAAACAGAAGAAGCGAAAGAGCGCAAATAACATTGGCGATCGCGAAATTTTCTGGTTATTATATATACCTTTTTCTTGTTCACCGGCTTCGAGTCCAACGCTTTTCGGATCATCCCACTCGAATTCCCGCCCTCTTTGGGTAATCAGAAAGGGAGAGATCCCGGCGGAGCTTTGATTAAAGTCAAGGCTCCTTTGACAAGTAGAAAGTTTTCGGTGACCGAGAGGAATTCGAAGGGTTCTCTCCCGCGACTTTGCAAAGCTTTCTTCTTTTTTTTTTTTAGACGAATGAAAGCGAACTCGATGTAGAACCGGCACTGTTTCGCGCCGAAATAGAAATCTGAGAAATATGTACCGAGGTTTTCTTTGACAGAAGAAGAAAATTCGAAGAATTCTCTCTATGACTTCGTTGATTCTTTTTTCTTTTTACCGTAGCACTTCGTTCACGCCGAAAAAGCGGGGCCTGAAAAAACGTGTACTCTCCTTTGACAGAGAAGAAAATTTCAGTGACCTGCTCGTTGCTCGAAGAAGCACGAACGTCTCCTTTCGCCGAGATAAAAATTCGAAGGATTCTCTGTACGGGTTCGCGATTTTTTTCATATGAAAACCGAATTCACCAGTATTATTTCAAACTGAAAATGGACCCGGAAAAAAGTACCTTTTTAACGAGGAAAAAAAGTCCTCTTTACAGATCCTTTATTTAGAACCTGCATTTTTTCACGACGTTTCCGAAAGAAATTCGAAACCATTATTCTCTCCGCTATTCTTTTCTTTTCTCTCTCTCTCTCTCTCAATGATTAAAAATCAATTTGACAAATAAGAAATCTTCTTCTCCGTCAAAGAAGAAAATTCCTCTCCAATTTTCAACGATTATTATTATTATCATTATCATTAACAAACAAAGAAAGACGAATTTACCATAGAACCAGCACTGTTTCACGCCGAAACGGGGCCTGAGGAACGTGTACTGAGGTTGGGGCGGAAGATGATCGAGAAGGGCGGCCAAACCGGCGACCAGAAGGGGGCCACCCCACGCGTAGCAGGCGTACACTCGTAGTCGGAGGGTCTCTTGGCCTTTCTCCAAGCTCGCCGGTCTCAGATCCCTGGAAGAAGAAAAGAAAGTGGAGAATGGTCAGTGGGGGGAGGGGCCCTCGCAGAAGCCACGAAACACGAGATCGTTCACTGTGCACTTAAACGGAACGCGAACAATAAAACACTCCGGCAATCTCGCGGTAGAGTTTCAACGTGGAAGGGAGAAAAGAAGCGAGGCTCCATTAGAGAGCTAGGCGGAAATAAAGGTTTCGCGGAACCGCTCTTTCGGGTGAGCGATGGCCTGCCATTTTGCGTAATCAGCGGCAGGGGGGGACTATTGTTTCGAGGATTATTGCTCCGATTCGATAAAAGCTAAATCGAATATTTAGAATTGGAATCGTGGATAAATCGAGTGGTTGGAGAAATATTGCCTCGCGCAAATATAAATGCAATATCTAAATTATTTTCAAATTATTGGATATTAGAATTACGAGAAATAATTTTTCGGAAGGATCTTCTTTAAAGAATCAGGTTCTTCTTTAAAGAATCAGAAATTTTCAAAGGTAATGATGCAAATTAATTTTTCCAATTTTATTTGTGCACACAAGGAGAAAGATTGAAACCCGTTTCAACATCATCAAAAATAATCACAATTCGAAAAGGGTCGCGGTTTTATTAAATATGGTTCGATCTCGACGTTCGAAAAATCGGTTCGAATGCATTTCTTTCTTTTATCGCGACGAAGCGGATCGATCGTCGGGGAGGACAGGCATCGACAAAGGCTTCTTCGACGGAAGGTAATCTACATGCGTTTCAACGAGCGCAAACAAGTCCTTGTGGAGTGGTAAACGGAGCGATCTATGGAAAAACTAGCAGGGGTGAAACGATTGCCTTAGATGCAATTAATGCACCGCCCTTATTCTATTGAATACCGAGACTTTTTCTCGGTGAAAGGGGGTGCAGACGGGGAGGGGTGCGATAGTTTCAGCGCGAGTTTGCTCGGAAAGTTTCGCTGCCATTAGCATTAGCCCTGACGGCGACCCGCCGTTATTATGCAATTCAAAGAAGCTTGTGTGTTTCAACTTCGACAGATCGTCCCGTTGCCCCGTTTCGCTCGCAGAAACTATCTCCTCGTCTAAGCAGCGGCGACCGATCCCCACACCGAATGCACTCCCGTCGAAAGCTTGCATAAACTGAAATTTCTCCGCAGCCGCAGCGGAGCCGGAAAGTCTACCGAGTGAGACGCAATAAGGAGAAGAGGGGGCACGATTCTGGCACGAGTCCAGGGAAAAATGAAACTCGCGGAGGAATACCGCGATAAAAAAGGATGACGATTGTTTGCGCTTCGAAAAATCGTGACCTTTCCTTTTTTCCTTTTCCAATCGCTCTATTGTATTGTATAAAATTATTCTTTATATATTCGTTAAAAAGAAAAAAAAAAAAGAAAGAAAATTAGAGTTTCTTTGAGAGGATTGAGAAGAAAGAAAAATTGAATTGTTAAAAGAAAGAGGGAAGATACGAAAAGTTTTGTTATTGGAATCTAGATCTGGCGGAAGCATACGAAGTTTCGAAGGCGTTTACGAGGGATCCACTTGTACGCACGAGGTCGATGCAGCTATAATCGAGGCGACGATTAAGAGGATAATCGCGGAGGTAATTAGCGAAAGAACACGATTCCATCTCGGTGGACGTGATCGCGAGGCAAACTTACGGCGACCCCTTACGGACAGCCTGTACCCGATATTACGTTACATTAACGAGCTCGAGCAATTAACTCGCCTCTCCTCTGGGCGCAGGGGCGCAGCGTAATCAAAAATGGCCATGGTTTCGCTCGCAGCCCGACTGGCGCCACCGATGCGTTTCGCTTGTCCCGTTTTATTTGAATTTTCACTTTTTGACAATAGAGCCGCGTCGTTACGCCCGACATTTGCCATATCCGCAGTGACGTCGGCTCAGATAGGGTGCGATTTACGAGTAACAATCCCTCCGCTCTAAAGCTCCGTTGTGTTGGGCCGCGCCACCCCTTCCCTTCCCCGTCTACAAGGGTAGGGATGTTGCTGTTATAGCGACGTTAAACTAGCCAGACAATGACGAGGCCTCGTTGCCTCGACGGTCATCGCTCGTAATATCGGGGTCGAAATTTAATTATTTCGGTGTCCCGTTAATAAGTCCGACCCTTAATTTCCAACTGACTCTGTTATTCAGCGGTTCCTTCGATGATTCCATTACACCCTTAATGGTAACCGAGCCTCCGTTTCCAATCTCAACACTTCCGCCCCTCCCCTTCCTGGTAATTTCCAACTACTCTTTTCACAATCGAGTAAAATTATCGCGTTATAACGATCAACCTTCACGACTTTTAATTTGTCTTATTCGCGTCATCTTTCGATTCAATTTCGAGTATACGAAAAAAAAAAAAAAAAAAATTCGCTCGTTCAATTCGAGGAATCTTTTTCTCGAGATTCGAACGAGAACACAGGATCCAAACGGTTAACACGAAGCTCGAAATTCGTCGCGGCGAGTCGAGAAGAGGGCGCGAGAAGAGCCGGGGATATTAATTCCCGGTGGCACGACTCATTTCCGGGAACGTTAATTAGCCATCACCGCGGTCGTAGCGCGCGATTAGTCGCCACCCGTCCGGCCGGAGAAAGTTTCAGGGGAAAAGAGGGAGGAGAGTTTTCGCTACGAAAATTCAGTCGGCGCCACGATAATTTTCCCGTCGCTGCCCCTCCCGGAACGAAACGGAGGGAGGACGCATTAAACATCGCTCGAGGGAAAATTAGGGTGATGCCCGGTCACAACTTCGCCTTCCTTCCTCTTCGATCCCTCCACATGGTATGGCAAATATTTTTATACGTCTCTCTTTCCCCTTTCGTTTCCTTTTGCGGGAGAAAGGAAGGAAGGAAATGTCGGTCGCATCGCCTCTCTGGCCACGGTACAATCCGACGACGACAAAGAGAGGATTATTACACACGGACCTCTCCTCGAGAGTACGATCCATTGTCGGAGCGCGGAAGAGATAAAGGTTATTTTTCTAATAATGGATTCGCCCGGGAAAGGTTTTCATTCGGACGGATCTTCTCTCGATCCTCGTCTCGATGAGACGTGTTCTATTATCGCGAGCATGTGGAACGAAGAGAGAATCGTTTTCCAGGCTTAATCCTGACAAAGGACATCGTCGGAATAGCTTCTTTTAATTGTATCCTGTCACGATGTGGCTATTTATCGTCCGTATATTTGCGAACGGGGAAAAAGAAAGAAAAGATCGGACGTAAAAAGACCCATTGAACCTTTGCAAATCGTCTTGCCTCTCGCGGTTAAACCACGGATTAAACTTGTTAAAAGTAACCGAGAGAGGCGTGTCGCGAATACAAACCTCTCTCTGTCTCGTTTGGCCATTTTAACGCCCATTGAAACCTCACGTTTCAACCCTTCCCTTTGAGTTGTCCGCCACCTCGACAACTTCATATATATATATATATATGTATGTATATCTCTTGTATAAAAGTTGAGGAGAGGGGAAAAAAAATTCGTAGAATTACAAACGTCTCGGCTCCTTCCGCCGTGCTTTTCTCTCTGCGTATATCTCCGTGGCGCACGCCCTTAACACACAGCCGAGACGTAAGCGTGGCCGACTGTCTCCGAGGGCAGAACGTGTACCAGCGGCAGCCCTATATTTATCTGTCCGATATGGTAATTATACGGACGGCAATTAGCGGCGTAGCCAGCTTTAGAGAGGCAGAGAGACCGCTTGGCAGACGGTATCGCGCCATACCTTGTGGAGAGGACCAGGGAGAGAGAGAGAGAGAAGAGAGAGAGAGAGGAAGAGATCGTACGCCGACCTATTCACGAGTCGGGACCGGGAAAG